GTGGTGTAAGAGGATCTTTTCCATGGATCAAGGTGCTTCCCAAGGCTGCTGTCACACACAGCATCACCTTTCACTCAACTGGTGCTGCCCTCTGTGCCCTGGCTTCAAGGAGAACTCCTTGGACACCAGGAGCTCCACCAGGCACAGCAGGGTTTGGTTTAATCCCACACTGTGGCCCCCATGCTGTGTCCCATGAAGATCCTCACACCGGGGATCCAGCCCCCGCTGCATTCCCCAGATGTGCCCTCAGCAGGGCAGGGCAGGGCAGGGCAGGGCTGACACCACCCTGCTGCACAGCCTTGGTTTGCCTTTCATGTCACCAGCCCCCAAGTTAAGATTAGGCAGCAAATCGTGGTCTGGTGGACACCTCCATGCAGCTCTGACAGGTCCACTACAGGGCTGGACAAGCTCCTGCGTCCAGACATGCTCCCTGCAGGAAAAGTGCCTTGGATGGGAAGTGTCCTGCGAGCTGCAGCTCTGTACCCACTGCCCAAATCTTGAGAGATTTAGCTGAGCTGGGCCTGGCTGTGTTCCCAGCACAGCTGAGCCACTGCTGGGACACTGCAGACGATTTGGGAACACCTCTCACTTGTCCAGGTCTCCTTCCCTGCTGTGCCAGTGGCAGCACTTCCAGCTGGAGCCTTTGGGGTGCCAGGGAATGTGAGCTGTCAGTGTCCCCCTCCAGCCTCCACAGATCCCCTGTCCTGTGCAGGAAAGAGAACCCAGCTCTGAGGGTTCACACCAGGACCCCCAGCCAGGGGGGCACAGGGAGGACAGCCCCACTGCCATGGCACCCAAACCCGCAGGAACACAGAACAAGGTCTTGGCAGCTGCTAACAGTAGAGCTTCCCCCCCTGGGAGCATCATCCCTGCACATGGAGGGAATGGCAGTCAGTGCAGATCCAGGGCCAAGGGGCAGAAAGAGGCTCCATCGTGTCCCCATCTTGTCCCATTCTGTCCAGGTGTGCTGGAGGAGACCCATTTCCTGTCACTTCCCAGGAACAAACCAAGCAGGTCTGACCCTGCAGAGGGGGTGCTCCAAACCCTGCCCCCAGCAAGCCATGGAGCAACCCAGGACCCCGCTGGGCTCCCATTCTTCCTCCCCAGGAGGGTCACATTCCAAACCAGCTTCCTCCAGCACAAAGCATCCCTCCCTGGCCAGACATTTCCAGTGTGGGTGTTCCAGGACACTGGGGCTGGGATCACCTCCCTAAGGAACAGACCGTGCTATACAATCAATTAGTTAAATTAGTTCCTCTCGTGTGGCCTGAGCAGCTGCCCCAGGACTGCTCAGGGGCCCTGCTGGGACCAGCGGTGTTTAATGTCTTCACCAGTCGCACAGGAAGGGATCCCTCAGCAGGTTTGCAGCTGCACCCTCAGGTTTATAGCTGCTCCTGCCCGAATCTCCTCAGCCAGGAAAGAAGAGCTCCAGGTGAGTGATGCCAAGGGCAGCTCTTAAACGAGGCTCACGGGGGCTCAGGCGTCTCCAGGCTCTGAAGGAGCTGAATTCAGAGCCTCCCGCATGGCAAAACCCTCCCAGAAGCCGCAGGGAGCTCCGCAGTGCTCCAGCACCACCCCCTGGAGAGGAAGGGGAGGGATGGGCTGTGCAGCCAGGGTGGAGCTGCTCCAAAGGCTGCGCTCCCTGCTGAGTTCTGCGAGATCCGGAGGCACCTGGATCCAAGAGATGGCTGCAAAACTCGGCTGCCATTGCTCCAAATGCTGCCGAGGGTCGATCCGGACCCGTCTTGCTCATCCAGCCCAGAAGCTTGGGCTGTGGACTCCTGCACCACAAAGGTGTTACCCTCCCAAAGGGAAAAAGAGCCAAATTCACTCTCAGGGACTGCTTGGGGACTGCCACCAACACAGCCAGGCCCTGCCAGGGAAGGACTCCACACTGAGGGATGCACTGAAGCTCTCTGGCACAAAAGGCTCCCCGATGAGCTCACACAACTCCCCACTCATCCCCACTCCTGCTCCCAGCAGAACCAGACCAGCATCCAAACTCCTCTTGAACGCAGCAGCAGCTCCCTCCAGAGAGGCTCCACCAAGAGCTGAGTCCTGGAGGGAAGGGACAGGGACACACAACTGAACAGGGCAAACACATGGACACGGACATTCTCAGCACATGGAGACCAGGAACCCGCAGAGGGTGAGGAGGCACAGCCGTGGTCACCATGCTGGATGGAGAAAAGCCTTTCCTAAGCAGGGTCTAAGAATGGAAAATTTAAAAGCAAAGAAGGTCCAGTGCATTCCTGAGTGAGATTTCAGCACTCAGAAAACAGCCTGGAAAACCCTGCTGATTCATGGCCAGACTTGACCTTGCTCCCCAAGTCACCAAAGGTCAGATGGAGTCCAAACAAAGGAATTCGGGGTGGGGGGGGACGATTGGTGCAAATGAGCCAAATACCCCAAGCCCAGGAGTTTCTTGTGTTTGGAGCTGCTTCCTGCCCCAGCAGGATCCACCCTCACCACTCAGGGGCTGAGAGGGGATTTTGCTGTAATGATGCTGGAACCTGTTCTCCAGCTTGTCCATGCCAGGCTGGCACAGGCACTGACCTCAGCAGCGACACCAAACCCAGCCCAGGAACACGGGGAAAACTCCCAGCGCTGGCAGAGGCTCAGCACATCACAGCACACCCTGTTCTGCACGGGGTGGGAGCTCCAAGCTCAGCTCATCCCTCCCAACTCTCCCAGCTCAGTCCAGCTCATCCCTCCCTTCCAGCTTGGGTGCATTTCTGTCCTCGGTGCTCACAAACTCCACTAATGGGGCACTGCTGTTCTCTCATGGCATGGGAATTTTGGGGAGTGGCTCCCAAGACCTCCCGAGTGCCAGCAGAGGCTGCAGTAGTGCCACACCCCAGCAGCAGCACTGGGACCTTGGTGACAGGGAGCCACAGGTCAGGGGACATCCTTTGGCCCTTACAAATAGCTCCTGGAAGGAGGAGCAGCCCCCCAGACTCACAGAATCTTAAAAAGATTTGGACTGGAAATGATCTTAAAGACCAGCCAGTTCCATCCCCCTGCCATGAAGAAATACCTAACGCAGCCACTGGGGTGCAGGGGACACCCAGCCCGTCCCTGCCCGCCCGAGGCGGTGCTGGAAGCGGATCCTGCTGGGACACACACCTCTGTCCCTGTGAGATTCACGTGGATGCTCCCAGGCCCTCACCCCATCACCCTGGGATGTAGGAGCTGCCCTGCTGGGACTCCCCTGCCTTCTCCCCACACCTCACTGGTTTACAAACCAGGCTGGAAAATGAAGGTGCCGGTGCTGGAGAACAGTGGGACCCTGGGCAAGACCTGACCTCCCTGGGTGAGGAATGAACCCACTTGCTGCTGGGGAAAATTCTACCTCCGTTCCCCTCTGCACTGGCCAAAAACTTCATCCCTTTCCCCCAGCAAAGGGGGAATCTCCGCTGTCCCCCAGGCTGGACCCAGTGCCCAGGACCGGGAGCATCCCCAAGATTTATCCACAAACTGGGTGTGGAGCAGGTCCTGGACATCCGTGCTGGAACCGAAGCCAAGGAGCTGCGCTGGTGCCCCGGCCCAGGGGATGCTGCCGTCCGCTCTGTCCCGGTGCAGCGCCCGCGGGACAGCCGCCGCTGTTCCCCCCGGCAGGAATCCCCGCTCCACCATGAATTCCAGGAGATCCCGAGGGTGCTCCGGCCGCTCCAGCAGCAGCGCGGAGCTCTGGGGGAACTCGGACCGTTCCCGGAGCTGGGAGAGGCCGCAGCAGCCCCAGGAGAACGCACGAAGGAGCGGCAGCAGCCCCGGCGGTACTCGGGGCCAGTGAGGGAACGGCGAGGGCGGTACCCCGGGCCAGGGGATCCCCGGTGCCCCGTGCCCGGCCCCAGCCGTCCCTGAGCACTCCCGGCCATGCTGGCTCCGGTCTCCGGTGACCTCGCGCCCGCTCCACCCGCGGTCACGGAGCTCCTCTCGCTGCCGCCCCACGCCCGAACCGCCACCTCTGTCCGTTTCTCCTTCTCTTTACTGTTATTTCCCCGCCCTCTCACCCCTCCCCAGCGGTGCTCGGCTCCTCCGGGACCGTCTCGTCCCGCGCTCCCTCAGAGATCGGCCGGTGCCCGCGCCTTTCCCGGGCCCAGAGCAGCGCTCGCTGTCCGAGCAGCCTCGGGCAGAGCCGTGGGACGCTCCGGGGCACAGAGCCGGCACTCCGGGCCCGCCGCTCCCCTCCGTGCCCGCCGCTCCCCTCCGAGCCCGCCGCTCCCCTCCGTGCCCGCCGCTCCCCTCCGTGCCCGCCGCTCCCCTCAGGACCCGCCGCTCCCCTCCGGGCCCGCCGCTCCCCTCCGTGCCCGCCGCTCCCCTCCGTGCCCGCCGCTCCCCTCCGAGCCCGCCGCTCCCCTCAGGCCGGGAGCCCCGCGCGGAGCCCGGCAGAGCCCATTGCGCTGCGGGCGGGGGCTCCGTCCTTGGGCCTCGCCCGCAGCCCCGGAGCCGCGGTCGGGCCTGGGCTCCCGGGAGGGACCCACAGACCCGGCCCGGTGCAGCCCCTGCCATGGGCCAGGGTGCTCCCAGCCCCGTCCTGCCCTGCAGTGGGCAGTCACAAACAGCGGCCCTTCCACCCTGGAGGCGATTGGCGGCAGGGGATCCCCTTTGGGCTGGGATCGAAGCTCACAGGGTAAAGCAGCAGCGGAGGATTTGCTGGAATTGCTGCAGACACCTCAGCGGGACCTGCAGAAATCGCAGCGTCCCGAGGTCCCTCAGCTCCAGTTCCAATTTCCATCAATCTTGGCCCTTGTGTTTATCAGTCAAGAAGCAAATCTGCCCTGCAGGTGAGGTCCCCCTGCCTCCAGCCCCCAGGAGCTGGACGAGCTGCTGGAGGATTCCATGAGGGATGAGCGTGAACAGCAATCAGATGTGAAACTGCGGCACACAGGGATCCAGGAACTGACTGGGATTCCTCCTCCAGAATAAACACAGACTCAGGGTAGTTTTCGCTGAATTGTGGTTTAATTTAATTATCTACTGCTGCTACATCTGTACAACATTGTACAACACGTAATCCGAAGGAACATTCCAGCCCCACAGCTGTGTTTGGCTCTGCTCTCTCCTGTCACAAAGTACCCTTGGTGCCCTGGCTGTGACACCCTCTTACAGCCAGCAGAACGTTTTGCTGTGATGGAAACCCCTGGCCACTGCAGGGGTCCCTCATATTTCTGGTCAGACAGGAAGGATTTTTCACCTCTTTCAGCACAAGGCAAAAGGCTCCCAGCAGTGCAATGAGCGGGGGTATGCACAGGATGATGCTGGGGGTGGTTCAGGACTGGCACAGCCTTTGTACAGCACATGCTGGGGGTTTGGGGAGTTGCTCTGCTCACACACTGCTTGTAGACTTACAGTCCTTCCCACTTTGCAATGGGAATTTCAGCTACCCCATGCCAGGCTGGTCTGAGATTTCATCTCCTGCCCAGACAAAATGACTTAGGGGTTAGATAATCTATTTAGATGCTACTGGTAGTAGAACACATGCAGAACTGCTTCTGCCAGATTTGGGAAACCTGCAGAGAATCACATGGGATCCAAAGTGTTTGTTTTGGCTTGAAAAAGCATATGTTAAAGGACCAGAGACCCCTGATGTCCAGAAATGTCCTTGTTGTGGGTGAGTGGTGTGGCAAGATGATCTCTTCCATCTGTGTTCTCCACAGAAAGTTTCATTTCGGCCAATTATTTTTCCTCACATCTTCTGTGTTTGTGAAGCTTCTAAGCTGTGTTTTAAAGGTCTCATGGATAGCCTGATCATTAAAAAAAAATAAAATACAGTGCTCTTAAAGCTTTTTTCCCTCAGTATTGATGACAATGCAGCATCATGTTCAAAGTACAATTACTGGATCTGAAAAATAATGCCCTCAGTCTATGAAGAACACCTGACCATAAATGCACAGCCTTCATATGGAGGAGTCCTCACCCAAACCTTCTCATCCTGGGAGCCATGCAGGGATGTTCTCAGCAGGGCCACGCTACAGGGAGGAGTCTGAAAGTGAGAGTAAGAGAGAAGCAGCTCAGGGTTGTAGTGAGGGAGATCAGAAATAGTCTGAAAGGCTCCCTGGGAAGGGGAGCTGAAATGTTACAGGGTCTAAAAGTCTGCAAGGGGGTGAGAGGGGTTTAACTGACCCATTTTGCCACTCCTGTAATCCCAGTGAGGTAATTTGCATTTCAAGAAAAATATCTGACTCCAAGTAAAGGATATTTCAGTGGATATAGTCACCAACAATATTTATCCATAAGTATATCCAAGAGTCTATCCCCAGCCTGTCCCACTGCCCTTCCATCCACATCAGGGTCCCAGTAGCTCTGACCATGTCCCTCTCTTTCCTCCCTGTGTTTCCTCCCTTGTGTTGGCTTTGGCCAAACATCAGCTGTTCTCTCAGTGTTTCTCAGCACATTTGTCAGGGTCTTTATTCTGCAGCTCCTGCACTGGAGAGAAATCTAATCTTGGTAATATCCTACCTAATGAAGATGGGATTGTTCCTTCTAAAAAATTTACTCAAGCTCAGCCAAAACCTCTGGTTTGTGCAGAAATCAAGTGGTTTTTCCCATCTGCCTTTTCATTTCTGTTCTCTTTGGTACTTGTTCACGAGTACCATAATTAGGAATTCAGTAAGCCCAAATGTAGCATTCTTTTCAGCAGGTGGAGCTGTTTGGGGACCGTGTTTGAGGCCCTGGGCAGCAGTGACTGATCCAGCAGGGAAGCAGCAGTGCAGAGTTACCTTTGATGGCGAGGAAGGCTTTGCTGAAGGCACGGCCCATTTCATTGCTGGCTTCCACCATGTACTCCCCCTCATCCTGCTTGGTGACCCCCAGCACCACCAGGGAGCACACTCCAAAGTCGTTGGTGCAGAAGTAGTTGGGATCTCTGGATAGGTCTCTGCTGTCCTTGTACCATTTGATTTTGGGAGGGGGATGGCCCCCAACAGCGCAGCTCATGCGACACTCGCTGCCTGTCACCACGACATGGCACTTGAGTGGCACCAGGAACCTCGGGGGCTGGTTCTGGTTAACTCCCCTGTACTTCTGTGCTTGCACTCGAAACTCAGCTGTGAAAAATAAACCAAACACTCTCTCAGATACTGCTCCCAGCACCGCAGGGTTTGCAGGGGTTTGTTTGTGCAGTGTCTAGAATTCTGCAAATTGCCAGAGATCCCATGCACCTATAAATTGTAAGCTCTTCTGCTCCTCAGGATTACCCAACATTTAACTTTGAAGTCAGAAATTTTGGTTTCTACAATACTGAAGCCTTAAACTTTGCTGGGAATTCATTTTGGGGCAAATTTTCATGTCATAATGCCTGGGAATGAAGGGTCTGTCTGCACAATGTCCCTGCAGAAAAAGGACAAACCTTCCCTGCCCAGCTGGAATTCCTCAGGGCATCTCTGTGCATTCCTGTGGGCAACTGAATATTCCCAGGAGGAGAGACCCATTTGAGGGTGGGGTGCTAGAAGCAATGAAAGAAACAAAACACAACACAGAGAAATGCCTGAAAATGTTTTACCCTTTTTTTTCCAGATCCTCCAGGGCTGCACAGTCTCTGATGGATCACTGGCTCCCAGGTCATTTCTTGCCACAACCCTGAAGTAATAATCCCTGCCTGGAACCACCCTGGTGAAGGTGAACTTGTTGTTGTAGATCAGGTCCCCCAGCACATGCCACAGACCCTTCTGGGATTCCCGTTTCAGGACAGTGTAATAGAGGTTCTTCTCCCACTGCTCAGATGCTGAGGGGTCCCAGGTCACTGTCACTGTGTTGGGCACATTCTCCTCCAGCTGGATGGCTCCAGGGGGCTGAGGGACATCTGCCAGGGGAGGGACAATGTCACAGCTGTAAGGGACAGTGGCACAGAACCCTAAAAACCTGTTGTATGTCTGGGGCTGAGTGACCATCCTGGTCAAAATTCCATTCCTTCTCCAGGCACACAAATGCATTTGCTATGAACTGAGCTGCTGCTGCACAATATCTGCACTTGTTAGTGGGGAGAGGAGGGTGGTACAGCTGAGCTGCTTCCCCTCCTGGGGAAGCTGGGAGAGCTGTGCTGTGTCCCACAGCCTGTGCTGACCTCCCTCCCTCAGTTTTAGTCAGTGGATTGCTCTGTCTGCAGACAAGTGAGATCACAAAGTGCCCAGACAATCTCATAGAAAACTGTACCTTGGTTCTCCCTTTGCCTGCAAGGCCAAACTGCATCAGAGCTCACCCTGCCAAACTCAGTTTGTGGCCTTCTGCCTATTCACAGTAAATAATGAAATCCCAGACTGCTTTGGGTGGGAAGGGAACTTAAAACTCATGCAGTCCCCCCCCCTGCCAGGGGCAGGGACACCTTCCACTATTCCAGGCTGTTCCAAGCCCTGTCCTACCTGGCCTTGGACACTCCCAGGGATGGGGCAGCCACAACTTCTCTGGGCAGCCTGTGCCACCCTCACAGGGAGGAATTCCTTCCCAATATCCCATCTAACCCTGCCCTCTGGCAGTGGAAAGCCATTCCCCCTTGTCCTATTCCTCCAGGCTCTCATCCCAAGTTCCTCTCCAGCTCCCTTGGAGCCTCTCCAGGCACAGGAAGGGGTTCTGAGGTTCTCCCTGGAGCCTTCTCTTCTCCAGGTGAACACCCCCAGCTCTCCCAGCCTGGCTCCAGAGCAGAGGGGCTCCAGCCCTTGGAGCATCTCTGTGGCCTCCCCTTGAATTGCTCCAGCAGCTCCATTTCCTTCTGCTGCTGGGGGCCCCCAGGGCTGGAGGCAGCTCTGCAGGTGGGGTCTCACCTGAGGGGGCAGAGGAGCAGAATCCCCTCTGCCCTGCTGCCCATGCTGGGGGATCAGCCCAGGGCATGTCCAGCTCTCACCCACCAGCACCCCCAAGTCCTTCTCCCAGGGCTGCTCTCAGTGCCTTCATTCCCTAGGACTGGAGTTCGTGGTAGATTTGTATGGATGGCAGTGAGTTACCTGTAATTTGAAGCTGGAAGCTGAAGGTTTCCCTTTTCCCCAGCCCATCCCCGAGCTCGATGCTGTAGGTGCCGCTGTGACTGATCTCAGCTGCCCTGAGCAGCAGCTGGGCGCTTCCATCCTTGGTGCTCACGGCAGCCCGGCTGGGAAGGGGGAGCCCATCCTTTAACCAGGTCACCACCGTCTCAGGAGATCCCTGGAAACAACATCACAGCCACTTGTTTCACCTCCAGACTGTGTCTTATGCCTTTAGTTTCATTATCTTACCCTAAATGTGTACCTCCATGACACAGTAATGTTTAGAAATATCCACAATGGATCTGAGAGCCCTGACCTGCTCTACGGTTTCTTTAAAGATTTTTTTCCTTTTTGCCCTTTAAGGTTGTTATCACAGTAAAGCATTCAGAACTGTCAAACAAGTTATGCCAGATCAAGGACAGATAACTTCAGGAGTTAATATTTTCTGCTTTAAAAAAAAAAAATCTGTTATTTTTGGAAAGAAAAAACATCCTCTAAGTCTTTAGTTCCATTGTGCCATCTTTGGTCTCTTCTCCCAGAGATCAGGAGAAAGGCCAGAAAATACACACACTTCATCACCCTCCTTTGGTATCCCAGACTTCACAGGATCATGGAATCATTAAGGCTGGAAAAGACCTTCAAGACCATCAAGTCTAACCCATGCCCCATCCCCACCTTAAAAGCACTGAGTGCCACATGCAGGTGTTCCTTGGACACCTCCAAGGACCAGGACTCCAAACCTCCCTGGGCAGCCCCTTCCAAAGCCTGCCCACACTTCCCATGAGGAAAAGCCTGTGTTGTTCCAAGCTTACAGCAAATTTCTGTCAGTGCCTGCCAAGTTCTCGAGTCACAGAGCTCAAGTGCTGCTGCTTGGTGAGACAAGCACAGTGCAGGTGTTGCTGGAAATGGTGCCCCAAGGCCTCCTGAGGGAGTCACAGGGAAATCACTGATTTGGGAAGTCTGACAGAGCAGTACCAGATGATGATAACATTGATAAGGCGAGGTGGACAGCACTGAGCCTTGTTTGCAGAGGTTAAGGAATGACCACATTGTCATAAAACACCAATGCCAAGACTGACAGCTCAATTCTAGCTTGTGTTTTCCTCACCCTGAAAGTCTAAACAGCACAGGCAAGCCAAATTATTTGCCCAGTGACTTGTAGACAAAATTCCATGACAAAAAAACAGTGGCTCAGTTTTCCTGTCTGCTATTGAGTGCATCATAAAACCAGGCAGGGAATTCCTCCAAAGCCTTGCATACCCACCTCAAAGGGAATCTTCACCTGGATGGGATTCCCTGCTTTTATAACCAGGAAGCTTTTCACTGTGTCATCTATCAGAAACCTGGGAGAGACTGGAAAACACAAAGATTACTCCCAAAAGGTGGATGTTGGTGCAGTCACTAGTGACAATCATGGTGTTCCACCCCCTGATGCCTCTTCCAGCTGGGAGAGGCTGGTAAGGAATTCACAGTGGGAAAAATCTCCCTGGTTCAGTCCCAGATTTACACCTTTCAAATTTCATTGTTATTTATTTATCACTATGACTAAACAAGGGAAAATGATGTAAAAATACATTCACAACAATCTCTGCATTCATGAGATGTCTCAGTCACAGAGAAATTGTCTCTTTGCCACACTTTATTGCATCACAGGGATCATCTTTTGTGTTTAAATGGTGTCTGGAAAAAGGAAATTCCAATGGACAATTATAAAATATACATGCAATACACAGCATGGAATAGCCACAGGAGAGCTGTCAGAGTATTTTTTAGCATTTAAAATATTTTCTTTTCTCTTTTCATCAATATACTACAGCATTTAGTATTGCTTTAAAAATACCAAATACAGTAGTGCTAAACTGTATTTAGTGTTTCCAGTATGGAACTGAACACCTGCTTTAGATGGATTTATTTTATTTTTTTATTTACTTTATTGATAAATGGGGTCTCCAGGCATATGCCAACATAGACATTTTCACTTAGGATCCAAGTTAAGGAAGAGGAACCCCTCACAGAATTATCTCATATCTGTAATTCTGCAATGTTCCCAAAGAGCAGGAAAAAAACAGAGCTGCAGATTGTAAATAAAGATGGAAAAGTGAAAATGGTGAAAACTTTCAAACTAAACGGTTAAGAAGTAAAATAAGGTATCCAAAAAAGCATAAAAAATTGTGAGCAAGCAGGAGTAAAGTACATATGGGTTCTGTCTGGTGACTGTGGTGTGGCTCTGCACAGGAGGCAGAATGTAAGTCCAAGGAGAAAGTGGAGTTCTGAGGTTGTTTTATCAAAAGGAGTCTCTAAATGAGCTGAGCACTGTGCACTGCATATCTAATATCAGTTAATATTGAGACTGTCCTGCTGGGGTGAGCAGCTAACCCCAAGGTGAGGAGGAGCACAGCTCATCCCATATCCCACATCCCATATCCCACATCCCATATCCCAGTATCCCACATCCCATATCCCGTATCTCATATCCCATCTCCCAGTATTCCACATCCCATACCCCACATCTCATATCCCACATCCCACATCCCATATCCGATATCTCATATCCCATCTTCCAGTATTCCACATCCCATATCCCACATCTCATATCCCATATCCCATATCTCATATCCCATCTCCCAGTATTCCACATCCCATCCCCCACATCTCATATCCCACATCCCATATCTCATATCCCATACCCCACATCCCATACCCCACATCCCATATCCCGTATCTCATATCCCATCTCCCAGTATTCCACATCCCATCCCCCACATCTCATATCCCACATCCCATATCTCATATCCCATACCCCACATCCCATACCCCACATCCCATATCCCGTATCTCATATCCCATCTCCCAGTATTCCACATCCCATCCCCCACATCTCATATCCCACATCCCATATCTCATATCCCATACCCCACATCCCATACCCCACATCCCATATCCCGTATCTCATATCCCATCTCCCAGTATTCCACATCCCATATCCCACATCTCATATCCCACATCCCATATCTCATATCCCATACCCCACATCCCATACCCCACATCCCATATCCCACATCCCATACCCCACATCCCATATCCCAGTATCCCACATCCCACATCTCATATCCCATCTCCCATATCCCACATCCCAGTATCCCACATCCCATATCCCGTATCCCATACCCCACATCCCATACCCCACATCCCATACCCCACATCCCATACCCCACATCCCATATCCTGAGAGTGCCCCATTCCCAGGGCAGGGCCCCATTCCCAGGGCAGTGCCCCATTCCCAGGGCAGAGCCCCATTCCCAGGCCAGAGCCCCATTCCCAGGCCAGGGCCCCATTCCCAGGCCAGGGCCCCATTCCCAGGCCAGGGCCCCATTCCCAGGCCA